AACAAGAAGTGCCTTAATAATTAAGGGCTCAATAGATTTCACAAATGCACCTTCTTCTGTGTCTGCTGACAAACAGCTGTGGATCTGTGATACCTTGTAAAAATAAATTAAGAAGCCTGAAAGGCTCTGTTCATAATCTAAATGTGGAACTGAGGTTGCAGAATGAGGATGAAACTGCTAATTACTCTCTCCAGACTCATACTTGCAATATAATCAAATCTGTCTACCGGGGCGATCAGCACTTAATCAATTGAAGTGTGATATAACCTTGCACTTTGTGCTAACATGAAGCTTGAACTAAAAAAAGCCCTGTCATTGTTACAAGCATATTTTCAAGGCAGAGAATTAGCAGGCCTTGCTCTCCAAAATAAGACTTCCAACATTTAATTACCTATAGCAGGCTGCACATGTTTGTTAAGGTCTGTGCAGAGCTAACAGCTGAGCCTGCTGATGCCAGCAAGCTCTTCCTCTTCTGCCCTAAGAATGATTTGCTATATGAATACCTTGTTCCAGCACACTTCTCTGTTGGTAAAATGTTATATGCTTGCCTTGTTTTAATGTAAGATGACTTATTAAGTAAAGAGGAAAAACATTTTATATTTTATATATTTATATTTATATTCAGTGTTTTTTTTAAATTTGTTTTGGTTTTTAATTTTTTTAAAATTTTTTGTTTTGTTTTTGTTTTGTTTTTGCTTTACTTTGTTTTGTTATTTTTTCCCCTTTTTAAACTGAGACTATTCTTATAGCTGAAAACCTCTGTACAATATCAGCATTCACTTAAATGCTGTGTTTGGACAGTTAGCAAAATTTTGTGGGTATGTATTTAAATCTCAGGGGAGCTTCTCTCTCTGTCACATCAGTAGCTGGCAGCTCAAGAGGCAGGTTTTCCACAACGATTCACTTGTCCTTTGATTGAGGGGAAGTGAAATAACACCTGTCTGTTTTTTTTCATGACTTCTACTTCCGAATTAAACAGGGAAATACAAGGACATGACAAAGAGAAAGATCTCAGCTTTCTGAATCTGTAACACTTCGGTTAGGCAATAGAGCGAAGATTCTGTGTCAGCTCTTGTTTATTCAGATATGCTGCTGCTGCCTCACAACTGATTTTCCTAGTCAATGTCTATTTCTGGGCATGGAGCAACACTGTGGAAAAGGACCTGGGGGTCCTGCTCCATGGTAAGTTGCACATGAGCCAGCAGTGCCCTGGCAGCCAGGAGGGCCAGCCCTGTCCTGGGGCTCATCAGGCACAGCATGGCCAGCCAGGCAAGGGAGGGAATTGTCCCTCTCTGCTCTGAGCTGGAACGGCCTTACCTCGAGTGCTGGGAGTGGTTCTGGGTGCCACAATGTAAGAAATATGTTAAAACATAAAAAACTGTCCAAAGGAGGGCCATGAGCATAGTGAAGGATCTGGAGGGGAAGCTGTATGGGGAGAGGCTGATGTCAATTGGTTTTTTCAGCCTGGAGATGAGGAGACTGAGGGGAGATCTCA